AAACAAGCCTGTGTAATACTGGGAGAATATAGTCTGGTCAGTTGAGACTAAAATTGAACTGTTTGGATGCCAGAATACACATCATGTTTGGTGGAAAAATGTACAGAGACATTCTTGATAAAAATCTGCTTCCATCTACCAGGATGATGAAGATGAAACGTGGCTGGACATTTCAGCAAGACAATGACCCCAAACACAAAGCCAAGGAAACTCTCAGTATGTTACATTAGAATTACAAACTTTCTTCATAGTATAGTAGCCGTCAGCTGTTGATATTGTCTTCAAATAAAGGTCTAACTTTCCTTGAAGGATTGCATACCACCCGTCACCTTTCATCTCAGAATTGTAAACTAAGATTATTTTGGCTGTTTTGTCAATCCTTGTATATTAGCTCAACATTTGTAAATTTGACTGAGTTATAGTCATTGCTGAGTTTGCCTGTTTTCCTGTATCACACCTAAAAATCGGGGCATCAGCTGGAAACTTTCCAACCTGCTGCCTACAGCGCTCAGATCTTAGATCTGATAAGGCTGATATGCTGGTAGTTTTATTTCTAATGACAAAATTGTAGACTCTACATGCATTTTGTAGTGTTATGAATCTTTCTGCTCAAAAAATGATTTATTGTTCACAGGTTTTGCTCCATGACACAATAGAAATCAAAAAAGTGTTTGTTGCATCAAGAAGTAAAGGTACAAATACTGTACATTAGCAGCCCTTAAAGTGTTAAATTGCATGCATGAGAACATGCTCCAGGCAAATGGTTACAACTATGGTAATAACATCAGAAAAAAACAAACTGTTTAAAGAAATGATTCATAAAATGTGATTTTTCTTTTTCTCTTGTTCAATAGAAAGTTTTAGTTTAAGAAATAGCTAAATGTCGCACAGCAGTGCCGTGAGAAGAGGGATCACAAGACAAAGTGGCAGCCATTTATAGAGCAGTATTTGTGTCCAGTGTGTAACATTAGCTAGTGTGTTAAAAATAGTTGTCATGTTTTCATGCAGGGGTGTCCAGTCCTGGTCCTCTAGGGCCGCTATACTTCATGTTTTACTGGTCTTCCCCACACCAACACACCTAATTTAGCYATTGAATTACCTCTTCAAGTTCTGCAGAAGCCTGTTAATCATCCATTCATTTAAATCAGGTGTGTTGGAGCAGAGAAACAGCCAAGACATGCAGGATGGCGGCCCTTGAGGACCAGGATTTTCCGCTCCTGRTTTAAAGCTTGTGAAACAAGTACAAAAGCAAAACGTTTTGTGAAATTGTTATTGCTTCACGTCTTATATTTAACATATGCGTTAAAAGGGAATAAAACTGCCAATTGCATCCAATACATATTTTCTGTTTAACAGCATTATGAATGTCACTTTAGTCCAAATGACTGAAGCTGGGTCATTGTTGCCATTAAGCAGATTGTTGTTCTCATGACAGCCTGTGATATGCGGCTCTCCTGCGATASTAATGACCGCTCCACTCTCCTGTTGCTGACACTTTAACCAAGAAGCCAGGTTTAATGCTTCTCTTATCGGCCCAAAAGCTTGAAGTATAATCATTATTAAGTGCCTCTGCTCTCGTTTGCGTAACACGGTGTCTTGTAACTACTTTTAGCCAAGGAGAAGATGCCGTTTATGGTCTTCTAAATATTTAATACTCTTCCTCAGGTAACTGCTTTCTCAGGCTGAAGTGTGTTTAAAGTGCCTTACAACTCTCTGTAATGATGATTCAGCAGTTAAACAACTGCTTTCATTTCTAATAGATTAACTGCGACATCAAAAATGAGCTGTTTCTAAAGYATTTTGTGTTGTCAAAAATATAAAGAAAGTCTTAACTATACGGTAGAGTTTCTTAAATCTAGTTTAAGTGATGCAATGCTTTTATAAAAGACTGTTTTCCTAATGTTAATGTTTTAGCTTCAGTGTATTCAACTATTGCTGTAATATTTAGAAATTCTTAAGGATGTTTTTGGTATCTTGAGTTAAATAGTGTTGTGATTGCTGTAGGACATGGTTTCATTTTTTTTCATTTTTTTACAGATTTAATGCTGTCCTTGATTTTTATTATATTTTATTTTTGCCCAGTAGCTCCAAGCTCTTTTTCCTCTCAGTTCTAAATCAAAGGACTTCTTGTAAGATTGGGTATTTTAATGTTCAGAGATGAAGCAGACATTGATCATCTCATAAAAGAGCAAGGCGGCAAACAAACCACAGAAGTTAGTAAAAGGAGCAAGAATGAAAACTCTCCCTGTGCTGCACAGGCTTTGGTGTTCAAATTTGAAATTAAGACCTATGTGTCGCTGAGAGGATGTATTTTATTTGGTTTAATGACACCCATCTTTTTTTTGCCTTTCTGGATTTTTTGGTAAGAAAACATTGAGATTTAAAAGGCTACTCCTGTAATTTTAAAAGTGGGTAAATAATAATAAAAAATAATAAAACATTATCTTACCTGTTGTAGGTAAATTCTTAATCAACCTTAGTTTGAAATCATAGACTTTAAGAATGAGGGAARAGACTGACCACAACTAAGACCAAAGGAAAAAGCTGTAGTAAAATAACTCGGAAAATAAAAATATCTATTTTATAATCTTTTATATTTATTTTAATTTAAGCCATACTCAATTATAAATCTGTGGATACTTGTAAATGTGGCAGCAGCAGCTAGCTGCACTACATTCTTAGCTCGCCAATAACAATATAATGTAAAATCAGCAGTATAAAGGATAGGGTTTGGATGAACTGCTGTGAAATGTTGTGGTTAGAATTGTTTTAAGATGGCAAAAATGCAAAGATTGACTTTGGTTTTGGTTTTATATGGATTAGATTTTGGAATTAAAACTCAGTTTCTCCAAACTGAGGCCGCTCAGAGCTATTAACAAGAAACAATAGATTCTAACTTTTTCCCCAGAATCCCATTTAAAAATGGATGGGATGTCCCTTTAAGCTGCAATAAAAACATGACATTGAATGCAGGAGCAGGACACTGTCTACTCCTCTTTATTTAATGTGCAGATTGACCTATAGAAAGCCTTTATATTTATGCTCTGTGCCTTTGACCCTTTCTGCAGTCTTAAGCTAACTTACGACTCCTGCGTTGACCTCACAGGGTTTATTGGTGTCTTTTGACTTTGTGTCAAAAAACATGTCTATTTATAGCAGTTCTTACTCAGCATCTGGGCCAGGCCAATCTCTGAGGCCACCTCCGTCTCAAATTCTCTAACGCTGATGGAAAGTTTTGCTTCCCAGTGTTTGCATTTCTGAATTTTTGGTACTCTAKACTCATGGTTTGTGTGGTTGTATAAGCAATATTTGCATGTGACTAAAAATACATGTATTAATTTGTGATGTAATTTTGTACAGAAATATTAAAAATATGTGATAATACTGTATATTTGTGTTCGCTTTTTAACCTCATTGAACCCATTTTTAAACTAAACATGGAAATTTTGCTTTTGCCACTTTAACATCACTGGAGTATGTAAATGTAAATTTCATTAATTTTATTTGACAAAAAAGGTATAACATTTTGAAAAGAACACTGAAGATAATTCAGTTTTGAGAAACAGATTTTTAGATTTTGTGCTAAAACTAAAAATATATTAGTTTATTGTAATATTATGGATTGTTAATCTCAGATTGTGTTGTGACTCAGCTAGGATAAACATGATTCCAGCTACAGCCACACCAGATTTGACCTCAGCATCTTTTAAGCTGAGTTACAGACATTTTTGTGTTTTAATGTTGATTATCTGTGGCAGCCACCTTCACTCAAATTCACCTTCAACGTGAACCAGCTGTAGATGTACACCCACTAATTACTTCCTGTAAGCTCCATTACAATTGATCAAGTGGCTCATGAGATATTTTGCTAACAGACAGAGTTGACTCCAATAAGTTAACCAGT